CCCCCCCCCCCCGCGATGAAAGACGCCCGGGTCTTATATTAAAATGGTAAGTATTGATTTGACAGAAAGAAATAACAATAATAGGAAAATACTCATTCTTAAAAAATATCGAAAATATTTCAGATACCATCAAGTGGCATTGATAATTCTTTTATTTTCTGTTGGACGAGGATGTAGTTCAATAGAAGATTTATACTCACCGATATGCCTCTACTATATTAGTTCCTCTTGATGTACCTGCCAATGGCAGAATCAGAATTTCGGTCTGTGTGGGCTCAATCCTATGCAGACCTACGAGTCTTTGTAATGAAAAAAATATAGAATCATTGTTCGAAATTCTTGCTAGAAGTCTCAGAGATCCGTATGAGAAAATAGGTGAACTCCCTCTACCATCGTCACTACCACATAAAAATATTTATATCATGTCGGTCGAAAATCTTCAAGTAAACTCTTGCGAATATTTTTATACGATTGGTATTTTTTTATTTTGTTTTGGATTTTTCCGACAGGTTTTTTTCAGTCAAATCAATATCATTCATTGAAATGAAATAAACTCAAGTTTTCAGTTGAAGGAAACAATTCAAAAAAAATAGTTACAAGAATACTTACCGGGGATCTGAAGCAATTTTTTGAAGATTTTTGTTCCAACGCGTCCAATCTTCTTTAGCGAATCGTCCCAGTTCATAACGAGTAGATGCGATAACGATCAATGTACGATTGAAAGGCATAAATACTTCACACATTGCAGTAGGATGAAAGCACATAAATACATTGACTTGGTTCATTTCGAAATCATTCTTATAAGCTTCATAGAATTGTTGGTGAACTTGTAAACTACTGGTCATTCCATTTTCAGTAGTTAAAATCTTCAAGTCTTTTGCACATGTGTTAACTAGTTTGCAATGATCTGATAAACTTTTATCAATAAATCGAACACTGAATGGTGCAAGCTGATGTTTTATATCCTGGATCGGACTATTTCATAGAAATAAATTTTAATAAAAAGAAAACTTCCTATTCAAATTTCAGTTTCAATCTAAACTACATGAAAGACGCGAACATGATGGCGTCGTTAAAAGTTTTGTTGTGTCAACTCAATACATTCAATAAATTAGACAAGAGTTTTAGGAGAATAGAGTCACAATAGTGAAATTTGAAAAACGTTCATTTTGAATATGTTGCAGTGCTGTTTAGATCGTATTTAAGCGCGTGACATACGAGTGGTATATATAGACGCTAAGTGGATACTTTTGCTGTATTGAGATGAATAACAACAAAAAAACGTGCAACTCATTTTGATCAGTCTCTTTTTTCCGTTTGATCTTCTCAAAAACATTTTATTGAAGGTTATGAGAGATTTAATCAGATGGCAATCGAAAATAATTAATAAAGCTCTCAACAATGAGAACGAACTATGTAAGACAGAAGAAAATATTTTTTTCGATGCTAATTCTGGAGATATTATTGTTTTACGATTAGAAGGTAAGGTCTACCGCTTGAGTTCTTATTGGGCTCACCAAGAGATTTGAGTGAGACTAGCAAAAAGTCTGAAAAAGAGTTCCTTGCTACTATTCTTTGGAGCCGGTGTATGAGCCTTTTTTATAATTTTTTCGAGCGATTTTAAGATATCTACCGAAAAATCAAACAACTGAATTTCACCAACAGATAGCTCTAATCACCTTCAAAATATCCAGAAATGTGTATCCAAACAGAATATTCTTTGATTGAGATTTGAATCTAAAAAAATAGTCGTATGCCAGAGTCATACAACGAAATCGACTGTACGTGAGCATTCAATATCTCGACTAAGATAAAATATTTTGGCTGAAAATTTCAGAATATTTTAAGGATCACTAGTCCTATTTATGGGCAAAATCCTATTATTCGATTTCCTCGTCAAATTTTCTTAACAATTTACTTTGAGCAAGATCAAATCTTTCGTGTGATTACGATAGAAATATTTGCAGGGACAAGCCTAACGGAATATGTCCTATAATAACTGTTAAATATCTTGCTGACTTTCCTACAGAATAATTCTTCTTTAAAAAAAATCTATAAACCAAGAAAGCAAAACAGACCTTATGTGATAATCGTTAGTCCATACGGTTATTTTGTATATAGGAACAATCTTTGGTGGTTCTTCTGTTAGATATATGATTGATAATATATATCCGATTGAACAAAATGCCACGATAATTATTGTAATACAGGTACATCGAGCAAATGATATGCAACACATTTGTCAAATAATATTCATTGAAACAAAAACTCTTTAAATATTTTTTTAATCTGCAAAAATTTGAGAATAAACAATAAATATATTTTTTAAAACTAATTGTCGACAGGAGAATTTATCGCAATGAAAAGTATTTAAAAAATACACCAATTATATTTGTCAATATGCCTATTAGTATAAAACAAATCAGCTTCGATTATATATGTTAATTTCGACTAAATCAATATAATTTTCTGTTTGAAAAATAAGTTGAAAAGTACATCATAGTAAAAACTGGACAGCCATAAGCCTTTAATGTGATCATTTAGTCTATCGTATTCGATAGAATTAAAAAAATTGACATCTATATTCTTTATTTTAGCTTGGAACCACGTTCTCGATAAAAATGTCTCTAGTTCATTCATATGAATATCTAGACAAAAAACTATTTCCTTTTTCTTTTGAAAATTAAACTTCCAAATGCTTAATATCGCATACGAATATGAAAAATCTACTCATACAGTGAATTTAAAAGGGTTCTCTTTTCAAAAGATTATTTGATTTAATTTATTCTTCAATCATCATATACGATAGAGTATTAGTTAAAACAATGCTTTGAAATATTCTTATGTAATTTGTAGAAAAGCATTACTGATCACGATTTCTTACTATGCCGACTCTTACTTGTTTTAGATGCAGAGTTTTTGATTTACATGCAATCGTTGATGTACATATAGTGTAATTCATTCAACCATATCGAGCACTTTTCATGGCGCATTATACAACAGCACGAACATGTTCATGAAAGAAAAAAAATCTAGATGATCAATCACATTAATATATCGGGCAAAAATCTACGAAAAAAAGACGTAAAATAATGTAGACACAGTGGTTGAATACGTTTGAACATATTTCTATCCACATATTCAAATTACTCTAATGATTTATTCATTAAAGTCAACATTTGACGACAATGTAAATCGTTATGAGGGAAAAAATCGTAGTTTCACCTATATTCTACTCTGTTTTAAGTAGTTTAGATACGTCGCCTAATTATACATGTAATCTATTATAAGATTCAAAAATCAAGGAATCTTCCTCTTCATTGAGCTTTGTTAGGAGTTTAGAAAATTTCATTCATTTTCTCAATACTGCTCTTGATCGTTCAACTTTCTTTTCATATGATGAAAGTCCGATAATAAAACCGAGCGCAACAAATAGATAGGGACTGCCTTCTTCTTTTTTTTTCAATTCGTTAGAACTTTTGTGTAAATCATTTTCTTCTTATTTTTGTGATCTATGCTCAATGAATTGTTCTACAGAAAGTTTTCGTTTCTCTCTTGTGTACGATTCTTCTTAATGAAAATTCAATTCACCTGCCTTGCTCTAAACATACGCAATATTAACATCCAACAGAATAGAGAGCTTTTCTTGCAGTATTATAATTCATTTTCTAGAATCATTTAACCAAGAAATCAAGCGATAAAAACATCTACTAGAAAGAATATATTTGCATTTATTACAGAATTTTTGAACTATGAACTCTAGCAATCTCTTGGAATTTTTGTCTGGCATCAATCGACGATGAAGTTTACTGATGAATTAGATGTGTTTCGAAATCGCTAAGAATCATTTCTGCTCGCTAAATAATGTAGTCAGAGGAAAAAAATCTGTCTCAGGATGTCGCTTCAATACGTGATCACTGGATCAAATGAAACCATCATAATTTAGAAGCAGAACATTCAAGGGACCAGATAACATCATAAATATATATATTACTAAAGTTATTTTTATCAGTGGCTCCTTCTGGAACTCTTGTGGGTGATATAGATGTAGTTTTTGTGTACTCAAAAAGTGAGTACACTCTAGAATCGGTCAGTGTGTCCGTCCGGCCGTAGGCACGATAACTTTCGAAAGGAGAGTCAGACCGTGATGAAATTTTCCACACAGTTTAATCTCATGAATATCTCGGTCGAGTTCGAAGATGAGAAGAATGCCTCAAGAGATGGTTGAGTTATCGAAAAAATTGTCATCTTTGACCAGGCCATCCCTGAGGAGGAGTACAGGGATCTTTTTTCAAAAAAAATATCTTTCTCAGAATTATTCACAACATATATAAATCGACTCAGTTTTTAACGCTGATTCCGAATCTGATATTAGTTTTGCACTAAACCGTAGCTTTCTGATGAAACATCGCTTGAAAAACGTCTCAAAATGCACAAAAACTGCATCCAGAAATCAAATTGCCTAGTTTCTCATGATAATTTTCGTGTTCAGACATTCTAGAATGACTCATATATCACATGTACTTTTTGCAGTACACATAACTTTCGGATGAAATCCGAAGTTTCCACATTTATTAAATTATTAGCTCTTGGTGGAACTGACATATGATGCTTTGCTGATTAGATTGAAATTCTAATTAATTCATTTCCAGATTGGCAAGGAGCTGATTTACTTGAATGCTAGTCCAATAATTTAATGAAAGGTAACATGCTTTGTAGATTTTTCTCGTTTCTTTTGTTTCTACTACGCAGTTATACAGCACGCGTTGTCTTTTAAACACATTTATTGTTTGTCTTTTTTTTTTTTATATTTACTTTATTGTGCCAAGATAGGTTCACACATATATGTAGAAAAGAATAAAAAGAAAAAAGGAGATGTAATAGACGTTTATATGTGTCACATTTGAGTAAGATACATGTAACATAAAAAGACAGAATAAAAGAAAAGAGAATAAAAAACCGTAGTAGAAGCTACATAATACATATATATATATATATATATATTGTTTACTAAGTAGAGGTGACCTGACCTCTACGTGATAATTTTATGATAAGTAGATTGAAGAGGATAATAAGAAATATTTAATGATAAATGAGTGAAATTTCGTGCTTGTATTTCATTTATATTAGACTAGATCTGTGTGAAAGATATTTGATGTATGTCTACTTTGCAGTTTAGTTTATTTTCGTATGTTCATTTCTGTTTTATTCTTTTTGTATGTATTTGATTTTTCTTTTCAGATTTTACATTTAGATTTAGATTATCAAGTGAGTGTAAGACGAAAGGTTCATCTATTTATTTGTTGACTTCACATGCATGTAGATTTGATTTTGATTTTTGATTAAGTGATTTTCGATTTAGCTATTGAATTAGCCGGTGTGGTTGCCGTTTTTTGTTATCGATCTACGGTGGATAAAGAAAGAATTTATAAACAAACATGTTTATGTATGATGTATTTTTCTTAAATGTTTCATGTTGTTGTTTGTGTGTATTTTCAAATATTTGTAGGTCGGCTAGCGTATGTTTCGCTCGTTCACCGAGTCTACGTGGAAAGAAGCTATTTTTCCTGAATCCCATCGTTTTGTACCAAGTGTTATCTTCACCTGTTATGATTTGGTATTCCGCCCATGATTGTTGAAAGGCCAAAGCATCGGGGGATTTTTCCAGGTGAATTTTTAAGCAATTCCAATAATTATATAAATAATCTGATAGACTTTTTTCTCTAGATATTGTCAAGGTGGTTATGTCGTCCCATCCGTGCAACCCGTAAAGTATTCGCATTCCCGTACAATAGGTATGTTCGATGGTTATTTTTTGATTATCTGTATAGTGAAACCAATTGACAAATAGCCAGCAAAAATGTGGTAGTGCGTACGCTAGAAAAATCTTTTTTCGAATATTTATCATTCGCAACGGAATTGTCTTGAGAATTATTTTCATTGCATTGTATACTTTCTTTATTTTCTTTATTCTTTCATTTATAAACGTTCCTCAGCCTAGTTTTGTTGAGATACAGACCCCCAGATACTTATATGATTTAACGTGATCGACATTTTGGTTTTTGAATTTGATTTTTGGATGCGGAGGGGCAACGGTGCTGTGAATTAGCAGCGCTTTCGTTTTGTTTACATTTACTGGTAGTATTACATCCTCTGAAAATTTTTTAAGCTGTTTCATAGCGAAGTCAGCTTGCTGTTCGATATCTTTAATGCTGTGCGAGAAACGTTTCTCTAATAAGCCTGTTATCGTTATTGCAAGATCATCAGCAAACATATGTGTATTAAACCTACTAAGCAGTTTAGGAAGTAGATGAACATGTATTCGAAATAGTGTCGCGGGCAGAACTGAGCCTTGTGGTGCACGTACTTCCATTTTGATATTTCTTGAGTTGGCATCGCCATATGAGATAAATAACTGTCTGTTTTGTAGCCAGGTGTGTATCCATTTTAACAGCGGCAGTGGCATATCCATGTCATATAGGTTTTTTATTAGAGCCGGATGCCACATATTGTCAAAAGCAGATTGAAAGTCAACGAAAATCGTTAGTGCCGGGCGATTGCATGCGGCAACAGTAAGTCGTAGATTTTCTGTTAGTGCTAGTACACGTGTTTTTAAGCGTCTACCTTTCATGAAACCGCTTTGCTCATCGACTGCTATATTGTAATCATGACACCATTGTAGGATTCTGCTATGTATTATTCTTTCGAACCATTTTGCTAGATTGGGTAGTAGTGAAATCGGACGTAGTTTGTGTTCTGGTGGGTACATCCCTTCTTTGGACAGGCAAATAGTCTTCGCTATTTTGCCGGCATGAAAGAAGGATCCATTTTCTGCACAACGATTAAATAGAATTGTTATGGTCGCAACATATTCAATTGGTAACTTTTTTAGAAGGAAAGCTGAGGTACCAGCGCTGTCATATGATTTCTTCGGTGCGAATTTTAGCCATTCACGTAAAACTTCATCATATTTTATTGCTTTGAGTGGCATTTGAGGCATATGCGTAAGATTCTCAAATATTTCTATTGCTTGTTTGTGTATATCGTTTGGCATATTGGGCAGTGGTGCTGAGAAATGTTTTTCGTAATGATCTGCTAACGTATTGACAATTTCATTTGGATCAGTTATGTGTTGCTGATTTACATTTAGACCTTTGAAGGATGGTGAAAAGGGGCGAAAGGTGTTGCGTGTGTACTTCCAGATATTATTGTCTTGTGAAAGCCATTCTAGCTTTTGAGTTATTCGTTCTTCCATAAATGCAGTTCTTTCAGCGATGAATATACAGTAAAACCTCCCATAGTGAACACCTCTATATAGTGAACACCTCTCGTCTGAACGGATAATCTGAACCGCCCGATCGATTTTTGCTGTAAATAGACCTCTGTATAGTGAACACCT